GGAAGTTTTTTGAGAATGAATGCTCTGCTCTTAAAACAAATGTATTGGAATGTAGCAAATGTATGTTCAAAGAAACCACCACAACAACACAGTTAAATGCATGTCTATTTGACACATTATTATTTTGTGGCAACAACCCTGTGCGTCTTAGCTCTCATTATGGAAATTCCACACATATCCATAAAAACATGCTTGCAAGGAAAAAAACCTGAAATGGCTGCAAACCACCCCAAAAGCCTATAATAGGTTTAGCATTCCATTCTTTGTCCTAAAGCTGTTGTATTTAAATCAATATAACCATTGATAAAGACCAGACTCTAGTAGTGAAAACATTTTGCGGAATTCACTGTAGCATGAAACACCACAGCAGCACTTGTAAGCAACATTTCAAAAGAGAATCCATCTAATGTTTAGAACTCAGAGGATTAATGAAATGCTTATGATGACCAATGTTAACTTTGCAATAACAATTCACACACAGTTCAACTGTTGAATGATTTGTGTTTAAGCATGCCTGAAATATATAATAGTATCTATGACTATCTTGATTTATAGATTGAAGGAGGGGTTGTCCAAAACACACGCACATCATTGTTAGACTTTGGAATTTGATTTACTGGGTCAGTCTGCAGTTCTCCATAAAAAGCCAGCTGGGTTGTCCAGAAGTCTTTGTCACTGGTTGGTGTCAGTAGGGTGGGGATGTTTGCATGGTATTCTTGATTCTCAATGTTGTGTACAAAGACCTATCACCATTCTTCTTGTATAGTTCATTGAATGACTGATTACTTCTTGGATTAATTCACCCCTCCCAAGTAATAGTGAGAACCAGGTGTAAATTGAAGAAAGGTTTCTGCACTCTCTTGAAATATTTCAAGTAGTTAGTATGTACTGCCTGTACCTTAAGTCCCTGTAATAAAAAATATACGCCTTGTACAAGACACCTGAATCGTAGTCTGTATGTGATGTTCCCACTTATATGAAAGAGTTGAAGTTCTAAAATCTAATTGCCTAATGATGAGCTGGGACTATATGGCTTTCATAACAGGGACACTGAAATTTTCTGTATATGCATAGGCTACTAGCAGCAGCATATACAGAATATATACAATACTGAGGCTTGCATGTCAAGTATACCTATTTTACTAGCATCACTTTGCATGAAAACCAGTGTGTGGATTGCACAGAGAACCTGGTTTCTTGAGCTTCTGTCAGTGTGTGTAAGATGTGATGGTGGCGAAACCATGATCTCAACACTGCTTTGATGTGCTAAAGGCGCCATCTTCATTACTTCCTGCCAGAAGTCATGAAATATTAGTGGTGCTAATATTTTTTAATGGAAGCTCAGTGTTTCATTACTTTAATTCATTGCACTGTCTGCTTTTCATTTCTGCCAGGGAAGCTTTGAAAGATTCTAATGGTTTTGCATTGTCTTTCACCAATTCCTTATAAATGTGTTTGCAAGGGAGAATGGAATCATTACTCATTAGAGAATTATTTAACTGTAGCGTTAAGACCAAAGAGTCTCTTATTGTCCCATAGGGCTCTTCCAGCATTCTTTTGGATGACCCATGCCTCACCTCTTTCCCACAAATACTCACCTGAAGGCTAATATATCTCTGCATCCTCTTTCTCAAGATTGATGCTTCCTGAAATCTGCAGGTCTTCACAAGTATCATCTGAACCCAATTAGCCCATCTGAACCCAATTAGCCAATGAAATAAATGGACATGCTGTAATTTCTATCGATTGTGAATAAACTGGTCCAAGGCCATTTGATCCTCAAATGAAGTCTTTCACCCACTCTCATAATATGCCAACCCAGGGTCACCCAATAAAGCAGAATAGTGTGAGATTCAAGACAGTCCAACAGGAAACATTGCTTCATTCAGAGCACTGTTCAGGTACAAAATCCACTGCCATAATATGCAGTGATGGTCACGAATTTGGAGGGCTTTAAAAGAGGATTAGACAAATGCATGGAGTTTAAAGCTATCAATGGCTACTAGGCTATGGTGGCTATGTACTAATTCCAGTGTTGGAGTCAGTATTGCTCTCAATATTAGCTGCTGGGATTCACAATTTGGGATAGTGCTGCTACATTCAGGTCTGGCTTATTGCAGATATTAATACTGCACAGTTCAAAGTGACTGGGTGCATTAAAAACTGAATATGTTTGAAATGAAGCATTGTCTAGATCCATTAGATGGTTCAAGACTTTACTGGAAGAACTTTCTTCATAACATAGCAAAATGATACATCCAAACAGTTCCATGAGGCATATACGAGTCCAAGGCATAGGCTCAGCACTTTACAAAAAATTAAATATTCCTAACATGCCTATAAGCAGAGGTCTCTCTCTCTTTGCAGCCTCCATTTGCTCAGAGCTGTTTTCCTGGAGAGCTTCATTGATAGCCTCAGTCTCGCAGAGTCTGAGAACAAAAAGACTCCAGCCCTTCCAAGATGGCAAATTTTGCAATTCAATACCTCTCATGTGATCTAAGGCTAAACCATCACATCTTAGCTAGCAGAAAACAACAATAGTTAATTATCAACTGAGTTAGAGTTCAGAGTCCTATTCTTGGCTTCAGTATAGCTCTGTGGAAAATCCCCATGTTAAATCTTTCATTGATACACGTAGCCATTCCCATTTCAATGTGAATTAAACCAATTATACTTAACACGGCTTGCAGGCTTCCCTTGGGCATTTGGTTAGCCACTAGGAGAATAAGTTGCTGGATGAGATGGGCCTCTTCTTGTGCTTTTAAATTAATGTATTTCTCATCTCTGTTCATTTAAGTACACTCATTTAATACGATTGTGTTGGTTTTTCTGCAGATATTACATATTAATTCTCTTACTATTTCTCACATTGTTTATGGTAAAACTATAACAGTCTTTCTGCTTCTTATTTGGTATTTTCCACTTTCCATTTCAACCTTATTACTCATCTGCTTTCCAGTAGTTTCTCTCTTTTCACCTTCACTTTAAACTACTTGTACTTACTTTAAAAGGTCACCATGATCTTGCTTCTCCAGATCTAACGAATATCATAATTTCTACCCGTAGGGTAGAAGCACAGGTGGGGAGCATTGTTGTGGATAACAAGCTGTGGCTTGTGTTAGTCCATCGCTAGTGATCTTGAAGTCCTTGAAGACTTGCATGAATTCTTACACACAATGCTTGCACTCTCTTGCTCTAGAAACATCCTGGATGTTGCTCTGCTTCTCTGGCATTAACCATAACAATTTGAATTTCAGTTGATTCTAGTACCTATGCCATATTCTATTGTTTTGTTTTCTTTATTGCATTTATATCCCACTTCTTCTCAAAGGAGGTCAAGATAGTGAACTCCACATTTAGTCCCCACAACATCCCTGTGAGGTAGGTTAGCCTGAGAAGCAGTGTTTGGTCCAAGGCCAGCTTCATGGCAGACTAGGGATTTGAACTCTGGTCTCCCGGATTCTAGTCCAATACTCAACCACTACACAACACTGGCTTTCATATATAACATATGCCTCAGCGTTCACCTCTATCATGAAAACACACACTTAATGAATGGGGTTTACTGATTCATAGAAACTGTGATGTAAATTGCCCCTTGTCCTACTGAAATTGATATGTGTGTGCAAATGTGTAGTAAGGGATAATATTAGTCATTTTATCTGGCCTGTTCCACACACACAAAATGTTTCAGTTACAGTGCCTATTTTAGGGGGGAACAAGTGTACCTTGCAGAAGACACAAGAACAAATACTTCCCTCATTTCTCTGTGTTGAGAGGAGCCTGACTTATGGATTCCATGTAGAAGAAAATTAATGATCTCCTTTCAAAGAAAGAGTCGTACAAGAACCAATAAAATAAAACAGATGTTATGACTTGACCTGGGTTGTGTGTATCAGATACAAACCTACATCCATATTTTAAAATCAGATGATAATAATAGAAGCCTTTGTTTTGAAGAAGGGGTCTAAACCAGAGGCGCCGTCACAGCTGGTCAGTGGGAGAGATTACACCCATTATTCTGTCCTGCAAAAGAACAGAATTAATGGCAACCATGTTTTAAAGGGAACAAGAGGGCACTTGAAATATTTCAGTAGGTTCTCCGTTCTTCCATGACAGATTTTTTCCCTTCCTGCCAAGTATGCATTTTTATAAATAACTGATGATTTGCTTGTTTTAACTATAAAAGAATGGATGCCCCCCCTCCCTGCTTTTTATCAATTTGTAGTTTAAAGATCTAAATAAGGGATTGGGAATCTGTGTCCCTCCAGATGTTGTTCAGATACAACTCCTGTTCTTCCTAACCATTGGTCATAATGGCTTGATTTCTAACAGAAATCAAGCAGTTGTTTCCTTGCGCAGAAATAATCTGTTTTCATCCAGGGTTTGATCTTCAGTAGTTTGTTCAGTACCTGGTGATTCTCTTTGAAGTTCATCATATACTTTTTGTACATTTAAAGAGGGCTGTGTTGTTTTAGCCCAAACTAACACCATGTTCTATTCAAGAAGGAGTTGGAATTATTTAGCCAGCTGTGAACACAGATGGAATAGCTTGGAATGTATTTCCAAACAGAAATCAGGAAGTTATACTAAAACAACAAAAACCTAAGATTGTGCTATTGACCAGGCTAATATTAAAGTATTAATGTGTTTTTGCAATGGACTGATGCACATGAAAACTTTTCCAAAAAAAGAAGTGAGCCTTCCAGTAACGCATGGAACCTAAACATCTGAAGGGATCCACCATACGTTTCTTTCGTCTTGCCTACAAATGTTATGCAATGCCTCGCCCCATCTTACCCCAAAGCACCCAGTATGCTAAATTCTGAGTAACCCACAATCTCAATGGATAAAACCACTTTTGGTGGACCAGTAAACTGAATGGACTGAACATTAAGAAGTAATAATAATCAAGTGGTTGAAAATGTGCTTGTATTTATATTTACAGGTGCATGAAAGATCCCAGTTCATCATCACAAGAACCCTGTAAGGAAAAAAGGCAGGGAGATAAGTGACTTACTGAAGGCAATCTAAAAGGCTTCATATTTCACTAAAAATTGAACCCAGTCCATCTGAGTCCATCTTAATTATCTATATACTGGCAACACTAGGTAAGCTTCTCTGCCGCACGCCAAACAGGCCCCCAGTCCAGTTTCAATTTTTAAAAGGCTGGGCCTTGTGTGCGATCCAGTAGGGGTAACTTGCTGCAATAGCCCAACTTGCTGAAGAGGGATGTTTTCTCTGTCCAACCAATTCAGGCATAGTGTGGCATAGATACTGAACCACCACACTTGCACAATAAATGAAAGGTTGCATACCGGTAGTTTAGCAAACACCCAGCATTATCGGTCTCACATCATGCCACCATATTGTATCTTTGTACCTAACTTATTTTCAAATATATACCAGAACAAGAGATTTCAAAGTTCCAATATAATAATGTTTCTTGAAGAAATACAACAAGGATCGGGTCCAAAAGAAGATGAACAATGTATATATCTGAAGCTTAGCGGCACTTTTTGGTATTATCAAGGAATATGGTATGGTCAGACACAATGTGAGGAAAGGAAAATGGGGAATCTTCTGATCTTCATCTCAATCTCCATGAAGCTGGTCTTGTTGGAAGCCTCTTGGAACCTTACTTATGACCTCACCAAAGGAGAGAACAAACTGCCGTCTTGATGTCATGACTGAATCCTTCTACTATTCATAGGTCTGTGGTTTGACAGAAGGTAAGCTATGAAAAGGGGAAAGCTGAATATATTTATGAGTCCCTTGAAAATCTCTCACACACTCCTCTTACACCTACACCCACACTTCATTGGCATATGTTTGAGATACAAAATTAGGAATAGTCTAAAGAAAGAAAAAGGAAGCAATATAACCAGAATTTCCTGAGTTCAGAAAATGACTTTATCCTCTCCATTCTCCAATGATTCTAGCTTATTTTGAAATGTGTGGGCTTTTGCTCTGTGAAATCTTTATAGGATGCCCTGAAGTTGCCTTCAAAGAAACATTTCTTGGAGAACAGTCTTTGGCTTGAAAGAGAAGAACCCACTTGGGAGTTGGTGTGGATGAAAAATCTTCAAACACTAGTAGATCAAAGATAGACCTTACAAAAATGTGACTTTCTGTTCGAGCGTTGGTGTATTTCAGTTACTGTTACATCTGGAAAGGAATCGCATCCAGTGTAGCTGCTAGGAATTGTTAGAAAAGGAAGAGAAGACAATGGAGGTGCTTTTATCACTCTCATGCATAAATGCAAGCAGTGTGGTCTTTTGTTTTTATCCTTCCAGAACACATGCCAAAGGTCGCAGGTTCAATCCACAGCATCTCAAAGCAGGGCTGGGAAATAAACTTGTTGGAAACCCAGAGGAGAAGCTGCTAATCTAGGCATAGGCAAACTCCGGCCCTCCAGATGTTTGAGACTACAATTCCCATCATCCCTGACCACTGGTCCTGTTAGCTAGGGATGATGGGAATTGTAGTTCCAAAACATCTGGAGGGCCAGAGTGTGGCTATGCCAGCGCTAATCAGTGCAGGTAATCCTGAGCTAGATCAATCAATTATCTGACTCGATATAAGGCAGTTTCCTATATTCCATATCATACAGCCTCACACAGACACAACCAAGAAACAATTCAAACAAAGCACATTTAAGCATCATTGATTTCAGTGAGACCATTGAGCACATGCTTAAATCTCTACCATTCAAATCAATGGGAGTGGGGGTTTTCTTTTTCTTTTTTGGAAAAAAAATTGACTGTAACAGACTCAGTAGTGAGCTGCAGGGAGCTCCTGACCTCCTGTTGCCTGTGTTGCTACTGCTTACTGGGAGGGCAGGAGCAGCACAGTGTGGTGGAAATGTCTACCACTGCTGATCATACCTACATTGCCAAGGCCGGTCCACTCAAGAGGCAAGGTGAGGCAACTATCTCAGGTGGCAGGAGCTACAGGAGAGGCAGATGTAGATCTTTATTCTCCCCTTCTTCCTGATGTAGATATTCACCTATTCTTCCCCAGTAAGGAGGGAGGCATCTTCTGTGGTCTGCCTCAGGTGCCAAAATGTCTTGGGCCGGCCCCGCCTACTGCATACACATTTATGTGCTTCCTCTCGGCTTTAGGATATGTACACCCAGCAGTTCCAGAATATGGTAGTGTAACATATGAACCCTTCTGAATCAGACCAATGGCCCATCTGGTCCAGGGTCTTGTTCTCACAGTGGCCAACCAGATGTCTGTGAGAGGACAGCAACAAAGACACAGTTGCACTGTCCCCATGCATTGGGCTTTCAGAGGCATGCAGTCAGTAGTGGAGCTTTCCGGCACCGTGGGGCGGAGAGCAGGCGGGGGCAGGGCTGGAGGTAGAACATAGCCACTGATCGCTGCGTCCTCCTGTTTGCTTAACTGAGCAGACATAGGAAAGGCTATGAAAAGCTATGCATGGGCCTTCTATTCCCTATAATGACATAATGTGGCATCTATATTTATTCCTTATATTTTTACCCCACTGAAGCACAGTAACACAAACATCCTGTCTCCATCACTTCCCACTCTGTGGAGTCAAAACACATACCATCATGTGATAGACAAAAATCCCATGACTGCAATCATGGAGCAGGAATTTTAACATCTTCCTACCATAGGAACCCAGAGTGGCATACACATAGAATCTGAATTGTAGAGTTGGAAGGGGCCCAAAGGACCATCTAGCCCAGCAATCCAGTTTAAACATTTTAAACAGCTGTACAAAAATACTATCAGGATAGCAGTATAACTATACAGAACAGCAGGAGGGAAATAACAGTCCCAGTCCCCTTTCCCCAAAGGCCTGTATGCACAAACAAGTGCATTTTTAACTTGTTTGGGAGAATGATGCCAAATGGGACCATATTATGCAAAGAGTGGGTGGAAGATGGAATGTGTTACATCCTGTTGGGACGGAGCTGAGTCATGTGTGCATCTCCCAGAGTAAGAAAAGGGAAGAGCAGCAACAACAAAAATGGGAACGTGGAATGAATTCAATGTTTACAAAGGTTACAAAACCAAGGCTTCTGTTTTACACACTAACTTGGCTGAAGGGTGATGAGTCTGATCAAGACAAATGAGAAAACAGTGTCAGCTCTGGGGAAATTAAAGGAGTGAAATGTTTTTATCTTTTTATACAGCATATGAACGATGACAAATCAGCTGAACAGGCAGCTAGATTAATACAAATAGGAGAAACTTTTTTAAATATTGCAGAGAGCTTAGTTGCAAGCCTTTGTGAGAAGGTTCAATGAAGCCCCATAATGTTATGGGGTTCAGAATACAGACATATCCATTATTTGCCATTAGATGGGTTGAAGGTACAAAGCAAAAAGAGCTGTTTGAGTTGGTGAGCTCAGGGTTCCAGTAGAATAGGGATTTGGCCATGATTTTGACTGGTTGCATTTGGACCAATGACTCAGGGCGCTTCCAGATGACCTTTTTATGGAGTTTTTGCCCTGTTATGCCTACACAAAGTTTGCAGGAAGTTGTACAATGTTGACTGTTATTGATAATTTATTCTGATTTGTTTTCTGAGAGGTTACACAATGTTGCACCAAGTTATTGATATCCCACACTTTTGGAAAGTCGCTTTGAGCTGCCTGTGACAAGAAAAAGCAATGGATGTATTTAGTAAATAATCATAAAAATAGTCATCCCTGATTTTCCAGTTGTGCTGGTAAGGGCAGCATCACAAAATCCTCGGAAAAGCACCAGGGACTAAAACCCTTTTCTGCATTGCTTATGGGCAAAGGTGTACTGAAACCCTCCTGGAATCCCCTTAGGGCTGCAACACTTCTATTATTGCAAACCAGAGGAACTAGAAGGTCCTTGTCATGCCAGACTGTCCTTCAGTCTTTCCTTTTGTGAATTGAGGACCCGCCACCCGCTAAGTGATAAATAAAACACAAGGACCCAAGTATTTTAGGTTAATGGTTACAGCATGTGAGTGGTATTGGCTTAGGCATCAAACAATCTATACATGATTCCACCCCGCTCAGCAGGGAGTCATTCAAGGGTTAACAACCAGTGGGAGGAGCTTGTTGATGCAAGTACAACAGGAAGCTTCCCCTGGCATCACCGGGGGTCATGTAATGGCCTTAGCCACCAGCAGGGCATTGGACAGGATCCACGACTGCCGGATCCCTTTAACGGAATACCCAACGAGGGGAGGGGTAGGTGATGGCTACAACCTGCCTTCTGACATACCACACATATTCCAATGCCTAACCGCCAATCAGTGGCATAGCGTGGGGGGTGCAGGGGGGCTGGCCGCACCGGGCGCAACATCTGGGGGGGGGGCGCTCGCACTCGCAGCTCTCTGCCCCTACCTGGCTCACTCTCTCTCTCTCACTGCAGTGCTGGCTGTGCGGATCCGATCCGAGCCGCTGGGTCGCCGCCCACTGTGGAGGGGGTGGGTGCCAGGCGTGCGGTGCGGAGAGAGAGCGAGGGACTATCTGGGGGAGGGACAGTGCAGCGGCCGCCCAGCGCAGCGCTGAGCGCGGGAGAGAACCACACCAGACCAGACCAGGCAGCAGCAAGAAGACGCTGGCAGCGGCGGCAGGTTAGGGGTTAGGGGGCGCAAATTACTTGCCTTGCCCCGGGTTAGGGGGCGCAAATTACTTGCCTTGCCCTGGGTGCTGACAACCCACGCTACGCCGCTGCCGCCAATACTTGAAAAGTTGTGACGATTTGCTATGAGGTAGGCAAAAACCAAGAGGCTGGTACCAATTTGCCAAATGGATAAAATTCCTACCAGGCCCCCTGGGCAACCAAGGCAACCAACCAAACTCCATAGCAAGGTCAAAAGCATAGATGTGACCTAAAGGGAGGGTGGGCGGGTGATCCGTCGAATTCAGGAAGCGGCATGAGGGGCACGGCGCTGCTATGGCCGCTTAAACGCAGCTAAACCCCGCCCACAAGCCAGCTCTATTGGCTGGCTGAAGGGCACGGTGCGGCAGCCAGAATATCTGATGCAGGGGGGCAAATATGCCCCCCTGCCAACGCTGGAACCGGCTCCCGCTCACAACTCCTTCCCTTTGTTAGAAGAAGAGGCTTTTTGCTGCCAACCTCTTACCCATTGCATGGACTTGCAGTTAGCTAGTTTCATAGTAAAGGTGTCTCAGTGGGTGTATCCTGACTGTGATTTTATGGATATTAGCGTCTGGTTTTGGTGTCTAAATTCATGGAGCACACACGTGATGACTTTTTTGTTTATTTCCATCTTAAAGCTACACACGATGAAGGAAGAGGACAACTCAGAGGCTAAAGTAACCCAGGATGAAAGGAATTATAAGCACAAAGCACGCTGCCGATTCATGAGGAAACAGAAAAATGGGATTTCACCCTGGAAGAACACTGGGAAGTTAAAGAAAAGGTTGCAGTCAAAGGAGGTATGGCCTCCTCTAATTCTGTGAAAAAAGTGCAGGCACCCTCCAGGACCTAGCCCTTCAATGTCAGGGAGCCGACAAGGAGAGTACGTCATTCACAGATGAGAGAAAAAGAGTGAAACACTTGGCTAACTTACAGTTAGTTTCTTTATGAAGGAAAGCAGAACAAAGAACACAGAGAGACTTCTAAAGGTTGCCCCTGTCTTAGTGACACTGTTGTCCAGACTGGCTTGTGGCTCCCCTTTCACTCCCTAGCCCTCTATGTCAGGCCCCTCCCTCTCCATAGCAACCTCCAAGGGACCCTCTCTATGCCTCCCTGGCTCTCTGCTCAGCAGCATGCAAAAGATGCCTCACTGGGTTTAAGGCAGGTTTCTCACCCAGCTCTACCTAGAAATGCCAGGAATTGGACCTGGGACCTTTAGCATGCAAAGGAGATGCTCTGCACTGAGCAATAGCGCTCTCCCCATCTCACAATGTTCAGAGATGTAATATTGGTTTCAGCATAGGATGAACTGCAGCAGAGTGGAAACAGTGTTGCATGAGACGGTTACTGGGAGGAATGGAAAACAATGCATTCTTACATCTCTGCTTACAAGTGGTGTGATCATTGTTATTAGATAATAGATCATTGATGTATGAAATTATGATTGTGGACCTTTCAGTACGTTAACCTTTGTCATTTTCTTTCTAGAAAAGCCAAGAAAGTTTGAAAGAAACAAAGGAAAGAGCACCAACTCTCTCCTGTCAAGAAACCTCCAAGTCAATTGAGAATAGTGCTGAGGATTTCAACACCGAGTGGACCATTTTTAATGATTTGTTCTTCTCAAGTGATGTGGCGCCCTGTAATGAGTTCATACCTTATTACAGGACATACTCAAACCTTGTGGAAATCCCTCTGCAGGTAAATATAGAACTGAGCCATGAGAACTCAGAAGGAGAAGAAGTTCAAAGCGATGGCTGTGTCTTTAATCCTAAGTATGAAGATGAGCCTCTAAAGGACGTGAGTCTCACCACGGGATATTTTCCATATTATAGAACATATGAGGAATACTTTGGCAGCTCAGATCTTCCCAGTGAAATACACAGTGGAGCAGAGAGCGAAGGGAGTGTGGCAAACAATGCAGAGGAAATCAAGAGTGAAATTAGCTGTGAAACTGAGGAAGTATCTGAAGGTCCTGTAAGTACAAGAAAGGCCAAATCTTACGTTGAACCCAGTATCATACAATAATTCCCTTTATATCTTACAATAATTCCCTTTATATCTTACTTTTAAAAGACACCTGAAGGCAGCCCTGTTTAGGGAAGTTTTTAATGTTTAATGCTGTACTGTGTTTTTCATATTCGATTGGGTGCCGCCCAGAGTGGCTGGAGAAACCCAGCCAGATGGGCGGGGTATAAATGATAAATTATTATTATTAATATTAGCTTTATGGATGGCAGAACATCATTTCTGTTGCTGCTCACCTATGAGATTTAGGGCCTAACTAAATGTTATATATAAATATGTGTATTAAAACACCTGTAGTCTTTTTTAAAGAGAGAAAAGCCAATATGCAAGTGGGCAATTTAGAGGTGTGAGGTTGTCTAACGACACCCTGGGAACTCTATACTCTTATCTATTATTTTGGAAGAATTATTGCTTCTTTTGTCAAATTCATTATTTGTTACAATATTTTAATGCCCATTAGAGATACATAAATAATAATGACAGAGAGGTTCCAACACTCACACTTCACAGATCTGAGGCCCATAGATTTCTGAAAGAGCATCCCAAGTAGTCCACAGTTATTAAGGACTGGTCCTTAGTTCACATAATCCATGAATTTTGACCACACACCCCTTTATGTTTTCAGGATATTCAGGAAAACTGTGAAACATCAGAGGATACCAGCCAATGTTCTGAGAGTCTTCAGTTCACTGAAAACCAAGTATTAACTGACTCCATTGTTGAGTCCTGCGATTCTGACCTCTCTCTCTTCGATGAAATTTTAAACCTGAAGCAATCACCTTCTGACAGTGGTTATTTTCCATATTATAGAACGTATGGGAAATTGCTTCTCGGCCCAGAAGCCTCAAGTAATGCACTCTGTAGCAGCAGAGATGCACTGGAAATGTTTGGTATGGAAAGTGAAGGAACTTTACCGGAAACTAGGGACAATGACAATGGCTGTTCGGTGTGCTGAGTCCACTGGGATTGAAACCACAGGCATGGTTTTAAGGACTCTTACCATTGCACGGCCTAGTAATAATTTATATTGAAACATTTTAATAAGAAACTGTTATTCATATTAAGTTGAGCCATTGAAAAAATGGGTGAAATGTACAGCTAGCTTTTGCTTGAACCTGGAGAAATTGACCATTTCTGGAAAAAGATAAAGGAGATGAAAAAGTTATCGTTTTTTTAAAAAAACTGCCAACCCTATAGATGATCAGTCAGACTCTCAAATTGTTGAAGGAAAGAAGAATTTTGTCATGATCAAGGCAAGTTCCCAAAATACGCCCCCATACCACTGTTTAAAATAAGAAGTTGATAATAGGTGGTTTGAGATTTAGCTTCTCTCTCTACCACAAAAACTCAAGCTGAGAAAATCTGAGAAGAGAAGTCTTTCTGCAACCAAATAGTTCAGCTGCAAAAAGTATAGAATTTGCATATTGAGGCATGGAGGATAATATACTGCAGATGAAAAACTAGTGTACTTAATCTAATGAGCAATCATCTCTGGTTGCTGCCACTGACAATGCCCTCTACAAGCACTCCTGTTACAGAAGGAAGACAGGGACAACCAGACCAATTCTCCATCCTGGCCAATAGCATAACAAAGATTCGGTATGTAACAGAGGTGTTGTAATTGCTCACTAAACAGCAACTTCCAGTCTGTAGGAATGAAAGATGCATTATTCATTGCCATCTTTACCAGCTGATTCTTTGTCAGAGTTTAGAAAAATGTGGGAGAAGAAAGGAGAGGCATGGAGACTTTGAAGAGGATGTAGAAGTCTTCAAATTACTAGTATGACTGCTGATAAGACATCTTTCAAGCAATACTATATTTCTCCATGATAAAAAACAACAAAAAACAGTTCCTGTATTTTGTTATGTTTGATATGAGCTATGGATAGGGAGGGACTATTTTGTATAAAAACTTAATAAATACAACTATTTATTAATGTACCATGTTTTAAAATGTGTGCTCTGTATTGTCGTCTTCGAGACTGTTCATAAGTAACCCAATATGTACAAGCAACCACATATAATTGGACAAATGTTTCCTTCAAGAAGCCCAGAGCAGCTTAAAAATGGCCTCGGACAATCTTCCATGCAAACATGGTACAGGATCAGACCTGTTTAAAACTGCATCATGTGCTATAAGCAATTCCTTAGGCATAAGCAATAAGCCCAACTGGTTTTAGGAATGCCAAAAAATCCTGTGGTAACCAGAGTTGCAGCCAAAATTGGGAAAGGATAATGGAATCTGTTTTGATTTTGCCACTCAGTCACTTACAAATACAGTGGTACCTCGGGTTACATACGCTTCAGGTTACATACGCTTCAGGTTACAGACTCCGCTAACCCAGAAATAGTACCTCAGGTTAAGAACTTTGCTTCAGGATGAGAACAGAAATCGTGCAGTGGCGGTGCAGCAGCAGCAGGAGGCCCCATTAGCTAAAGTGGTGCTTCAGGTTAAGAACAGTTTCAGGTTAAGAATGGACCTCCAGAATGAATTAAGTACTTAACCCGAGGTACCACTGTACCTTGCTCCAGTGCTTTTTTTTGGGGGGGGGGATGCAGGGGGATGCATACCCCTAAACATTTTGTGAATCTAAGTTTGGCCTCATTGAGGGGCAACATTTCAATATGAGTAGGAAAATGAGAGTACCCCTAAACATTCTTTTAGAAAAAAAGCACTGCCGTGCTCTAAGATTCTCAGTGGTCCCACTGTGGCCCTAATCTTGTCAACACTCAACCTCCTAAATTTTCTGTTAGAGGGAATGATGCTAAAGAGTTGTACAAAAAAAAACCCCCTAAAAGATTATCATGAAACTTAATTTTTGCATTTCTAAACATTCAGAGGATCAAATAAAGCCTTCATTTCTAGCTATGGGATATATCTAAAATTAGCTCCTCTATACTGGCTTTTCTGTATGATTTATGTGAACAATGAATCTAAGAAATCAAGGATTTTGGAGATAAGTGCATTATAGGCTTTCTGGATTATGAAAGTAAATCTGAAGCAAAATCATTAAGCACTTCACTTCACATTATCATATGGAAAGTTATTTTTTAAATATTTCCCCCATGGAACCATGCAATGGCAGAATAGAGATCATTAACAAGAAGGCTAACTGCAGTTTCCTTGCATAAAGAATACTCACCAAAAAATTTTTCATTTGTGTTGTTCTATGTAACCGAGTTAATAGAGCACAGGATGAATTTCTCAAAACTTTCTCAATATGTCAGCATTGAATTAGAAAAGGGCACGTTATAGCCTTCACCAAGGAAAACGCCTCATTTGGGAATGACAAATATGTCAGTAAAGTCTTGGCAGACTGGAGCTTGTTTACTTTTATCTTTCTACTTGAAAAATCCATAATTATTGCTCTGAGACCTCAATATTTCAATATTATTAGTGGTTCTTTCAAGTTTCCAAAAACAATCCACAATTACTTAGAAACACACCATGTAGTTTCCATTGATCTCATATAATCCTTTAATCTCATGAATCCACAAAGTTAATTTTAAAAAACAAGCCTCAACAAAATGCTTTCTTTTAATAATGAAATGGGTTATATTGGTGGATCTTCAGGGACTTCTCACAAGAGACTGGATGGGCCTCCATTTTGAATCAAAATGAAAAAGTACCCATCATCATCACCACCACCTTTTGTTTCCCTGTTAGGAGTTTGACTTCCACCAAAAGTATTTAGCTAGAGGGGTTTTGTTTGTTTTGTTTTGTGGCCCAGTCACTGTCTCTCAGCCAAGCCTCTGACCTCAAAGAGTTTTCAGAGGATACCTTGAATCCCGTAGGCAAAGTGGGAGGGAAATCAAAATAAATAAACCATTCTTCCCTGTTTCTATATCTGAAAATAAATGCAGGGAATGTGGCTGAATCTAAATTACCACTGCTACATACCCAGTGTTTATTTAAATGGTTTTGACATTGTCCAGGTATTATTACCCACAAGACTCGTCTCAAGCTCTCTGTTATAACATGATGGAGTACTGGAGAGCCAGTGTGGTGTAGTGGTTAAGAGCGGTAGTCTCGTAATCTGGGGAACCGGGTTTGAGTCTCCGCTCCTCCACATGCAGCTGCTGGGTGACCTTGGGCTAGTCACACTTCTTTGAAGTTTCTCAGCCCCACTCACTTCACAGAGTGTTTGTTGTGGGGGAGGAAGGGAAAGGAGAATGTTAGCCGCTTTGAGACTCCTTAAAGGGAGTGAAAGGCGGGATATCAAATCCAAACTCTTCTTCTTCTTCTTCTTCTAATCGCATACATGCCTTGTACCCCACCAATAACCATATATTTGTCATGTATACTATCTGGGAGCAGCATCTCTGCAAGGTTTCAAGCAGGGAGTTTGCCCTGTCCAGAGTTGCCAGGTAGAAATGGGCAGATCTGTCAGTTTTGGATTTGCTCAGTTGCTCATTTTCACAATAAGTTTCTACTTTTTTAAAAAAAGTCATCGTGCAGATTCCTCAGCATTGGAGTGCTAATTTCTCCTGATATGCAGATATGTATGCAGTTTTGCCTAATAGGATTCATTTTTTGTATTTTATTTTCACAAATATATACACTTACCTGACTGGAATGTTACTTGACTGGAAAACTGTGTAGTAAAATTCAGAAAAGTATAAATTTCAAGGAAAGGCTGGGTTTCAGTTCATATAATGTTTCAGAAAGTGTGGATTAGGTAGGTTCATTTTTAAATACAAACTGAATTGAATTTCTCACCCGTTCCTACAAGCCAAAGATTGGATCCTGGACCTCCTGCTTATCTTGGTCCAGAGTAGTCTTGGCTATCCCCTGTCATGCAAATCAGGTTCCATTGGAAACCTCATGTGCCTTCTGGGACTTGAAATCCCTCTCAGTGTATAGAAGGTCTCTGTTGGACAATGGCCAGACTGCCCTGTTTTACTCTGCTTTAAACCCAACTTTAATCCTGCACTGGAGGAATATAATTTCTATTCCTGTCTTCCAGTAGCAGCTGGTAGGAGCAGCTCCCCATGCGTCACTCCTTCCTTTTCTCTCAGTAAGCGCAACCAACCTTTGTTGTTGTTGTTGTTGTTGTTGTTGTTGTAATTCTCTCTATCATCGTTATCATTACCATTCAACAAAACCCACATTTCCGCCCTTTCTGGAAGACGTGAGGTCAAATTACATCAGATCTTATATTCCTTAGGTCATCGCATTCCAGCTATGTGGCAGTTTCCATTACCACATGCAGTCATGGCAACGGAAATATTTTGTAACGTGGAGATCCCGTGTGCTCCTCTTCTGCACTGCGCATAATATAAGTGTGTCAATCCACCCAAAATGTGTCTCTGTTTTGTTCCCTTTGATATTTTTAGTTTAGTAGTTAATTTTTACCTCAGCTGTAATTGCCAGGTCCTCCACATGTGCTGATGTGACTCCTACTCTGTGGAGAAGCTGGAAAATGAACTGAGCCCTACCAGGTCACCTCACTGGCTGCCACTGATGTCTTGTTGGTTGCAAGCATAGTTAGTCACAACACAGAGGTGTCAGCTTAAAACTCAGGTGGCACGATGCATCACAACTTCCAACAGCTGCCCCAAAAGATCTTTTTCTTTCTCCTCTTATTTGGCCAGTGAAATGCTTCTAGGAAACAACAGAGGATGTCGACTGCAGTGGAATCATGGTCCTCATGACTGATGAATAAAAAATTAACGCAGTGTCAATCCACCCATGAGGCAAGGCGAGGCAGCCACCTCAAGTGGATAAAGTCCAAGAAGTGGCACCCACCATGGAGAAACAGCAGTGGAACTGGTTTCTGGAGAGATCTCATCGAGATCTCATGAGATCTCACAGAGCACATGAGATCTCACAATATTTCAGCAAACTGGCACCACTGCTGGCACTTTGTGGCCCTCACTGGGGCAGCATGTTCCCATTTTGCCTCACACAGTGAAACAGGATGTGCCATCCCTGAGTTAATGGCAAGAGTCTTGCTGATACAAGCAGTTTTTGAATCCATACTCCATAAGGGGATGTTTAATGAAATAACCAGTTGTGCTCTGGGAAGCGTTGGTGCTCGTGTCCACTGCCCCAGTGAGGTTTTCTCAAACCCCAGAGTTTTGAAAATGAAAGTGCAAAGCAAGCTGCAGAAAACTACATAAAGAGCTAACAGGGTCTGTTTTAAGGTTGTTTAACGGACTAAATGGTTACACTGAAACGCAGCGCCAGTGCATCTAAGCTCTTGCCTCTCCCCATGAATCTGACTTAATAACTTAGCTTTGAACTCTGGTTAGAAACTAAGCTTTGGAACGTCACACATATCACAGAGCTGCAGAACTTGGCATTCAACAAAAGAGGCTTATAGAGTTTCCCCCTTTCTGGTTCATATAAAAATGGAAAGGATTTTTTTATTATGAAGCTGCCTTGCTTCTATTCAGAGATTCCCTTGTTATTCGGATAGTTTTAAGAGCAGCACCTTGACCTGGGATTGCTTTGTCCATTCAGCACTAAATGAGCTACATCCAATGCATTTCTGCGCTATTTTCACTAACAGCATGTTGAAAGTACCTTTGAATTTTGCACAGATCTGAACGCTCTGCAAAATGTCAATTTGGAACTAGGTTTGCATTTTAGATCCTGATTCACATGATTTGTTTGGTTCCTCCAAAGGGAACAGCTGTGACAGTTGTTGTGGTTCAATTTCAGGGATGCACTTTTTATGGTTGAACCATTTCACAAACACATTTGTCTAGGAACTCTGGCTTGATTGCCAATAATTCTGAATAAGAGATAAAACAGTAATCTCTCACACTGGTGTTTGTGTGTGTGTGTGTGTGTGTGTGTGTGTGAGTGAGTGAGAGAGAGAGAGAGAATTAGAGATCTACTAAGTTATTGGGTAGAGCAATCCAAACTATAGGAAGCCAGTGTAATTTATGCCAGACTAAATCAAACCAGCGAAATTTACCCCTATTCCAAACTC